CCTCCCTCCCTCTCCCTCCCTCCCTTTCTCCTTTCTTATTTAGGGCTGGCTCTAGCCATGCCAAGTAGACACTGGCTTAGGGTTGACAAATTTTAAGGAGTGTCAAAATTGAAAAGACTTCTGAAAAACATAATAAAAAAGTGAAAAGCAGTGGGGTGCACTCCATCCCCTTGAAGGTTAAACAAATTTATCCCAGAATAAATAGGGTGAAAATGTCTGGGGTTGAAAATTGTCACTATAAAATTAAAAAAAGAAACAAGTGGGTGTTTTTTTGAAATTCCTAACAAAATCAGATGAGCCAAACCATGAGGGGTGCCAGAATATAGCTTTGCCTAGGGCGTCGACATGTCTAAAGCCAGCCCTGCCTTTACTAGAATTCTGAGCTGATCTGTTGCTGGGAATTTTTGGAAATTAGGCTAATGCCACATGAAAGTAGACTAAGGGCCACAAGCTGTTAATTCCAGAAGAAGACATTAAAGCAGCCAACATATTTCAGATTTGATGCTAGTATAATGACAACAGTGAAACATTGCCTCACCATGATGGAGTTCATTGATTCAACTATTAATAGCAACTATTTAGCTTAGTTGAATTCATAGATGGAGTTTGCAATAGCATACAGTGAAGCAATTTATTTTTCAAAGAGTATCCCTTATTTACTTATCCAATAGAACATGTATGGGTTTTTTGTTTTGTTTTGTTTGTACATGTGTCTAGGAGAGATTTCTGTTGACTTTGTGTATCATTTACACCATGGTAATACTCTTGGGTTTTGTTGATATGAATCATACTGCCTTGGTATCATATTGAGTAAATTAATAACACATAAAAATAAACAGTGTCCTTAGAAACTGTAAACTGATCGTGAAATTGTTCAGGGTTCCTGGATTTTTTTAAAAATTGACTTTGGTATCCTGATGCATCAGAAAAGTCTCTTGAGCATGATTGGGTTGATGACAGTAACATGAAAATTATTGTGCTCAGATTAAATATTATAAATGGCCAGAGAGGGAATTTTTTTTCTGTACTTAGGCATACTGAATTCACATTGATGCTGAAAGCTTTGCATTTACAAAGTCATTGTAACCCTTAAGACAGTACAGTATTTTGAGAGATGTTCCTCCTTTAAAATAAGACCAGTAATGCTGAGAATCAACATACATTGTTTTTCCCCCCTCAAACATGCATAGGAGTCAGAACTGGTTATTTCATGCAGAAAGGGACTAGATCCATGATGGCAAACCTATGGCTCACGTGCCACAGGTGGCATGCAGCGCCCTCTCTGTGGGCTCACAAGCCGCTGTCCCAGTTCAGTTCTACTGCACATGTGCGCCATCCTCCTGCCGGCCAGCTGCTCTTTGGGTCTTTGCTGTGCATGCGCGGAGTAAGGACCCATGCAAGGGATCCACACGTGCATGCATGAAGGGGGGTGGACACGTGCAGGAGTCTGCACACATGCAAGGGAGCTGGGGTGTATGCAGGGTGCTGCTTGCGCATGTGCAAGAGTGAGGAACATGCCTGGGTGTGTGCACATGAACAGGGCAGGGTGTGGGATGCATGCACAGGGGTGGGGTGCATGTGCAGGGGCTGTGCACGCATTGTATTTTGGAGGTTTGAGCACACACGCATTTTGGGCGCTTGGTCTGGAAAAGATTAGCCATCACTGGATTAGATGCTGTCTGGAAAAAACACTTAAAGATTAGCTTGCAATATAATGATTTAAATCTTTACAAATAAATATTCTGTTCATAATACAATGCTGATCTGGCACTGCATGGTTTATACCTACAAATCTCTGGAAATGGTATCCATTTTTCAAATATAAGGGGTTACTGTGTAGTTGGACATATGGCAGGGGCACAGAAAGTTGAAAAGAGTCTCAGGAATACTGTTTTTCCTGCCAGAGCCAGCGGTGTTAGAGTAATAGATAACAATTCGAATAATAATTGGAATTGGTAGGGGTGGATTGCTCATAAAGAGGCAGGTCTCGCCTCCTTTTAATTTTGGAGAGGGAAATAAACCAGCAGGATAGGATGGTGTCCAAGGAGGGCAGGGCCTGTGCGAACCCAACCAGTTTTGTACTAACTTCCTTCTTTATCCCCATTTAAAGAATCATCTAATCTAATCAGTAATCAAGTCCAAGCGGAAGTTCTTTTTTTTCTTTCTTAATGTTTAAATGTTTCTTTTCCCTTGACTTTGTTTTGGGAACTGGCTGAAAATAGGGCTGTTGTGATTATTTGTCCTACTTCTTTTATGGGAAGTGGATCTGGGACACATGGCTTCAACAACTTAATATTGAATCATGCAGCCTTGGTATGGCTGTTGAGTATTTGCTGGCCTTAATCCAGCATCAAATTTACAACTGGTTTTCATTAAAAATAAATTAACAACCAGAGCAAATTGGCAAGACAATACCTGTCAAAAAAACCTCACTTAACACTGTTCAACCTC